CCCCTGCACGCCCCGCACGCCCACCACGCGCACCACGGGACCCACCTGACGCGCCACCACCGCCACCACCGCCGCACGCTGTCCCTCGACACCAGGGACTCGGTGGATCTGGCCGAGCTGGTGCCCACCGTGGGCGCCCACCCGCGGGCCGCCTGGAGGGCGGCGGGCCCGGGCCCTGGCCACGAGGACTGTAACGGCAGGATGCCCAGCATCGCCAAGGACGTCTTCACTAAGATGGATGACCGCCGGGACCGCGGGGAGGACGAGGAGGAGATCGACTATGTGAGTGGGGTTTGCGGCGTCCAGGAAGTGTGCGCCAGGAGCGGGGCGGGGCCCGAGGGGCGTGGCGACGGGGCGAGGGTAGGGGCGGGGCATAGGGTGGGCGTGGTCGAGGCCTTGAGGCTCTGGTGAGCCTGATCCGAGGAGCTGGGTCTGCCCGGAAAAGAAGCTCTCCCCGTCTGTCTTCAGTGGGGCTGGGGTCATCCGGAGCCCGCAGCTTGCTGACCCTCCCGTGCCGGGTTGTCCTCTTGCCAGACTCTGTGTTTCCGCATCCGCAAGATGATCGACGTCTACAAGCCTGATTGGTGTGAGGTCCGCGAGGACTGGTCCGTCTACCTCTTCTCTCCAGAGAACAGGTGGGAGCAGCCAGCCTTGTAGTGTGGGTGAGCATAGGGACGGCATGTCTGGGAGGGCGCGCTCTTAGCGATGCACTCACATACCCTGGGGTTGAGGGCAGGGTGGGTCTGCAGGGAGGGTGAGCATCCAGATGCCTGGACAGGGTTTTCCTGGGCATCTCCTGTGGTGTAGGGCAGCCCTGTGCTGAGCAGCAGGTCACACAGGTCCTCAAGGGGCCTGGGATGCTTACACATCGTGGGGAGGATCAGAAGGGCCCTCTGTGCTGGACTGTAGCAGTCCAGTAGGTACAGCGAGAGGAGGAGGAGGTCCAGGTGGGGGGCAGCTTGAGAGAATGTCGGGGGCGGGAGCAGATATCTGACAATGCAGGGCCTTGGTACTGAGAACAGGGGTCAGTGATTTGGGCCATGTTTGGAAAGCCTTGAATGCCGGGGGGGAGGGGCAAGGTGGGGCCCCTTCACCATACTGGTGTGTGATCAGGGGAGGAGGCTTGAGGTAGGCACCCTGCGCAGGTACGAAGCTGGCACCTGTTGGAGGAGGAGAGAGGGGTCACTTCCTCTCGGCCTTCCTGGTCCCCCGTGTGCATGCCAGGGTGGGAGGCGCTCTGACACTCGTGGGTCCCTTGCCCAGGTTCCGGGTCCTATGTCAGACCATAATTGCCCACAAGCTCTTTGACTATGTGGTCCTGGCCTTCATCTTCCTGAACTGTATCACCATCGCCCTGGAGCGGCCCCAGATCGAGGCTGGCAGTACCGTGAGTGCTGGGACCCGGGGTAGGGCAATGGGCCAGGCCGAGGGGGCACGGCAGGGAGGAGAAGGCCATCCGGGTCTGAGACAAGGGGCCTCCCCTGGCTACCCCTGGGCGCTCCCCCGAGCCGGAGAGGTGAGCTTCCTGGGGCCCACGGCATCTCCCATCTCTTTCAGGAACGCATCTTTCTCACTGTGTCCAACTACATCTTCACAGCCATCTTCGTGGGCGAGATGACACTGAAGGTCTCTCTGGGCTTCACTGGGACCACTCACCCCTAGCTCAGGGCCACCCGCCTTGTCACTGGCCTGCCCACAGCAGCATTCTCCAGGCCCCAGAGGACCACCACCTCCACTGGGTGCCAGCCCATGGGTTGGGCTTCTGGGACACAGAGGGGGTCCCCTCTCCTGGAAGGCGGATATAGGGAGGAACATTGACAGTGTCACGGCGGTACCTGCTACAGGTGTGGGGCGCAGGAAAAGATTCCCTCTCCAAGCTTCCCCGCGCAGCGGCTTTGGATTGGGTCTGCTAGCTGCCAACATCTAGGCCCTGACTCCGTGTGTCCCCGCCTACCGCCCTCCCCGAGGGAAACACTTGATCTGGCCCCGCCCCACCCGTCGCCCCGCCCCCGGGGGTGGAGTCCATCGGCCCCACCCGTCCCAGCTGACCCACCCCGTCCCCAGGTGGTGTCGCTGGGCCTGTACTTTGGAGAGCAGGCATACCTGCGCAGCAGCTGGAACGTGCTGGACGGCTTCCTCGTCTTCGTGTCCATCATCGACATCGTGGTGTCTGTGGCCTCGGCCGGGGGAGCCAAGATCCTGGGAGTCCTCCGGGTTCTACGGCTTCTGCGCACCCTGCGCCCCCTGCGGTGAGGGGAGGGTGTTGCTGCCCAGTGCCAGAAATCACCGGGGTCTAAGTGGGCCCCTCGCTCCTGTTTTGGGGCATATTCAGACCTCCAGTAGCACCTGCTAGACAGCATAGTACCCGCTCCTGGGGGAAGAACCGGGAGACCTGGAGGGAGGGTGAAGGGTGCTGGTAGGGCAGGCATGAAGGTGACCCCAACACTGTTGCGCACCTCTGGGTGGCTCCCCACGCGTAGACCGGGGTGTGCCTGTGCCGTGACCTCAGGGGAGGGGGAGGGTAAGTGCTCTCCTGGGTGTTAGTCTGAGCCAGCTGGCGGCTCTGCTCTGCCAAGCCTGAGTTGCCCGGCCACTTTCTCTCCATTCCTTGCTGCTGGCATTGTTCCCTTGGGGCTCAGCCCTGGCCGTGCACGGGCTCACAGTGCCCCCTGGGTCCCCCTTGTCCCCAGTGTCATCAGCCGGGCCCCTGGCCTGAAGCTGGTGGTGGAGACGCTCATCTCATCCCTCAAGCCCATCGGCAACATCGTCCTCATCTGCTGTGCCTTCTTCATCATCTTCGGCATCTTGGGGGTGCAGGTGAGGGGTGCCCAGGCTGTGCAGGGGCTGGGGCGCTCTGTGGCTGGGCACGGGGAGGCCCAGGACAGAGGCTGCACGCTTCTGCGCACCCGCCGCCTGTGCTGGCCCCCGCCAGGCTCAGCTGTACCTGGCACAGGGGCGGTGGTTCTCGGCAGAGAGGCCGGGACAGACCCCAGCCCGGATGAGCAAGCCCAGGGCAGCCTGGGTCCGTGTGACCGGAGGGACAGGTTCTCCTGAGTCGTGCGCCCCGCCCCCTGGGAGCACTAACCTTGCCTCCTTCCCCCAGCTCTTCAAGGGCAAATTCTACCACTGCCTGGGGGTGGACACTCGCAACATCACCAACCGCTCCGACTGCGTGGCCGCCAACTACCGCTGGGTCCACCACAAGTACAACTTCGACAACCTGGGCCAGGTGAGTGCTGCCCGCCTACCCCGCCCCGCTCCTTAGCGCTGGCAGCTCCTCAGTGCTGACGGCCCCAGACTCACAAACCAAGCGCCTTCCTGGAGTTTCAGATTCCTGTCCTACAAAATGGGTAAGGGGAGCATTCCCTTCTCTGAGCTCTGGTGTGCAGAGGTTGCCCAGCACTTTGTAGAGCTTCACTGGACACTGGTCCTGGCCTTCAGCCCCCACCCCAGGGCATCCGACAGTTTAGTCACCCACAGGTGGGTATGCCTTGCAGCTGCACCATCTCACTATAGGTGTAACTACTTTGAGCCTCAGTTTCCTCATCTGTGAAATGGGAATGTCACCAGACAGGCAGTGGGAACTGTGTGCGACCTGGCTTGGGCTCACTCTTTTTTTTTTTTGTACTGGGAATCAAACTCAGAACCTTGCACTTGCTAGGCAGGCACTTGTACTGCTGAGCTACATCCCCAGCCCTAACTCACCCTCTTTGTTTTGTACTCCAGTTGGTAGGCAGGACCCTGCCTGGTTCCCACTGTGTTCTTGGTCCCCCCCACTGGGGACCTGCCCATTTGGGCAGTGCCTCGGTGAGAATCTTGGCCCTCTCTTGGGTGCCTCCCAAGAATTCGCCCCAGTCTGCCCCGACTGCTCCCCTATCCTGAGGGCCCACCCAGGCAGTCTTGTCCCGTGGCAGGTTTGCAACACCCTGTGTTCCAAGAGGAAGGATGGAGAGCTGAGGAGATACAGCCCCAGGCCCTCACCCCGCACCCTCCCCCATGTCTTCCAGGCTCTGATGTCCCTCTTTGTCTTGGCCTCCAAGGACGGCTGGGTGAACATCATGTACAACGGGCTGGACGCTGTGGCTGTGGACCAGCAGGTGGGCATGGCTGGGGCCAGGCAGCTCCGCACAGTGGGAGGGACATGTTGTCTTCGGAGCCCAGTGGTCTGAAATGAGTTCCTGTGAGGCCCACGCCCAGTGTCTCCCCACTGTCAGCCACAGCCACCCCAGGCGTTCTGGCCCGAACCTTCCCTGGCAGGGCTGCCCTCTGGGTGCTGCAAACCCCTGAGCGGGAGCCCGGCCGGCTCCTGCCTGGCAGGCGAATGACATGAGGGAGACGCGTGTTTGGGAGGCAGCAGTTGGAGCAGGGAAGGAAAGGGGGTGCTCTTTGCTGGGAGTCTGGAGGCGCAGGGCCAAGGGCAGGAGGAGAGGGGCTGGGCAGGCTGGAGGCGGGTGTAGAATGAGAGGTGAGTGGCACGGGGTGGATGGAGGAGAAGGCGGGGCTGGATGGTTTGGAGGACCCCGGGTGGCATGGCCAGGGTGCCTGCTAGGGGAGGAATTTTATTCTGAGGGCAGAGGGAGCCAGTAAAAGGCTTCTGGCAAGAGTGGCGCCCCCTGATGGCCGGGTTGCTTATGGCGCCTGGGAGATGGGTGATTCTGCGCCATGCTGCTTTGGGAAGGGGACTGGGTGCAGGTGGTCAGGGTGGATGTCAGGTGCCTGGGCGAAGGCCTGAACCTCAGTGCCCAGGATCCCTGTAGGAGCAGAGGTCCTGTCTGGGTCTGGGCAGGCACTTTAGGCAGACGTGGCTGGCCAGGGCCAACTGTGTCCGGAGGACGATGGGAGAAGAGCAGGGAGTGTCTCCGGGTCAGGACAGGGCCCACACGGGAGGAGTCAGGGTGGCAGCAACCTCAGGCCTTCCAGTGGCCTCTGACTGGTGGCTTTCTGAGACCCACCCGGCTCGACTCTGGAGGTGGAGGGGTTTGTAGTGATGCAGAGGGAATGAGAACATTTGGGGGCATCTTCCTCCACTCCTGTCTGTTCTGTCCCCACCCCAGCAGTGCGTGTGCACATTCAGACCCCACCAGGCTTAGCTCACCCATCTCCTGACTGCCTGGTTTCTGAATGGATGCATA